CACACACACACCCACACACACATGCCAAGAGGAATGCGGGTGAATTTTCGCGGGCTGCATATCCGTTTGTGGTGCACCACAAACGCTGTGGCCAATCTGCCGCCTCTCGCCCCTTGTAACTTGTGCCCCTGCAGTCAATGTGCGACTGACAAGTGTCGGTCGATTGCCTTTTTCGCTTTGCCAGCCAACAAAAAAACACTCAAATTTATCAAATACTTCACTCTCACGCTATTCTCATAAAATACTCTCCTTTAAAATACTTTAAAGCGTACTTTTATTCTTTACTCCTTACATATAAAAATATATACATACACACATGCGTTCATACGTGCCTCTCATTTCTCTTATCCGTTTTCTTACATACTTTACTCGCGTCTTAAGCTCCAGATTCTCTTCGTTCCAATCGCACAAATACATACAAATATTCACATATACGCGGGTACATACATATATAGGTATGCACGCATGTTATTATTAGCATGCTCACTTTACTTATTAACCGTTGCTTTACACATTTTTCTGTATACGCGACTTCCACCTTGCTGATAAAAACAAAAGGAAATCACAATGCGTTTCGCTGCTGCCGCAATGACAACCAAGATTTAGTGGAATCTGCTTTATGCTGAAAGTGAGGACAGCCCTACGAGCCATTGTTCGTCATATTCCATCTGATATATCTACGCAAAAAACCTCTGCATCGTGCACTACCTTTCCCACTTGCAGAAGTGTATTCCTTCACCCGCTGCGAATCGGCCAGTCTCACTCTCAGACAAATTGTGACGTAATTACATAACTTAAAGCCGTGGCCAACAATTCCAAGCACGCAAGAAGTATGCAAATCTTGCGTTTGCAAATTAACTCCCGTTCTTAATTTTGCTTAACTTTTGCAACTATTTGTATATTATTTTTACACAAAGTTCGCTTTACTCTTTGCACATCTGAGAAATTTCTGACTTATGTCTTCACTGCATGCACTATCGGGAGTAATGAAAACTATCGAATCAATCAATATCGTTAAGAGTGTGAAGAAGAGAATAGAAAACACAGATCCTGCGCCACTTTACTTGTTCATCACTTATGTTGTGACCTTAATAATGCAAATTGTAAAAATATCAATCAGACTATTGTTATATGAAAATGAACTGACATAAAATAATTATAACTCCTTAAGATATATGCGCTACTTGAAAAACAGTCGTCAATTTACGCGTATCAAATGAAAGGGCAAAGCTGAACACAGATCGATTGGAAAATGGTTGCTAATTGGAGCATTCAAATTTGATTGTGACTCAAGCTTTGTCCAATTATAAGTGGCTGTGAAAAAAGGTTTCGAATTGGGTAAAATTTATATATCGATATACATATGTATATCGTATAAACATAGACGAGTCTTACAAATGTAACCTTCTCTAATTTAAAGTTCTCTGAAGTAGTAAGTGATTTCATTTTGTCTTTGCTGTAAATATTTATATATTTAACATTTATCTTAATCGTACAACAAAAAATGCAATTCAATTGCAAAATAAAAAAAAATTACTTGCACTATGAAAATTCAATTACTTAATTCTTTGTGCACCCTTTCCACACATATGTACAAACATACACAAGAGCGCCATCTGGCAGCCACAAAACAAACATGCATACACACACACAAACACACACCCACATAGCTGCACGGAGATAAGAGAAGAATATGGACGTGCATAGCGGCGCCACCTGTCAGCTCTTCTAAGCACCAGGCATTTGGCAACAAATTCGCGCACACGCCCATCCGCCCCTACGCTAAATTACATACATAGAAATGTTCGCAATGTGTGTACGTACGAGTGCCTGCCACACACTAAAACACAGTTGGCACACTGAAAAAAAAACGGAATAGAAAAGTGTAAAAACTGGAGTCCAAATAGCACATAGATCCCATCTACCGAGCGTCTGCACTCCGCGCACATTTGCGGCTCTCTTTGCATGAGCGCGCAACCTTTCTTGCAAGTCCCCAAAAATGTTCTGCCTTTTATTTCATGCTGGTTTCGCTTTCAGCTGCAATCTTTGGATACCCTGTACAAAAGATTCTTTAGTGTAGTATTATTATTATTTTTTTAATTTTTTGTTTTGGGTTTTTTAATTGTTAATTCCTATGCATAGAAATATAATCGATAGTTTTCGTGCTTGCCATAGCTCATTTCACAATTTCAATCTCCATGGAAAATATTTTCGTTTTTACTTTATTTTTGCTCTCGCGCTCTCTTTTGTGCACATTTCTTCTTTTGCCATTTTTTTGTGCACGCTGCTGATTTAAGACAAATGCGTGCGTGAGAGTGCCAAAGAAACAGAAGACAGCCAAATAGTAATAGCGAAAAAGCGGCGAACGCAGCATAGTAGTGAGACAGAGACAGCTGACGCGCTTTTTAGCTTTTAGTTAAATAGATTTTTATTTGGACTTGTACTGTCTACATGAGTGTGCACATGCGATATTGTGTGAGTGTCAATGTTACTTGTGTGTCTGTGTAAGAGTTTTAGGTGCTTCTATTTGCTGGACTTACTGTTGATTGGCAATGGCAACAAAAAAAAAAAAAAAAACTAAATGGAGAAAAAATGGCAGACGCCTTTCGACAATCGTTGAAATTGAAAAACTTAGCAACCAGCGTCCAGACCAAATAACTTAGCTAATTGTATTGGCTAGCACATTTTCGGGCTTTTCTTTTACAGTTCAGCTAACGAGTAAAAGCTTCTCACAATGTTTGTCTATAGAAAAAATGCATTGGAGACTCTTAATTTAAGTACAATATATTTTAAAATATTAAATAAAATTAAATATTATTATATAACAAACATACGTATTTTAATCTTCATATTCTTAAATTATTATTTTATTATTTTATTTTGAACATTGTTTTCATTTTATTTATAAACATTTATATATTTATTTATTTGTTTATTTTTATATTTTTTTGTATATTTTTAAAAGCCCCAATAAGTATGCTATAATTTGTAATATCAATTCAAAATTCATTCATTCGCCTAGTCCGTCTAATTGGATGTGCTTGAAGCGAAGAATATGCTCTATCTAATTGTACATAAGGAAGAAATATGAAAAGAAAAGAAAGGAAAACAGACTAAACGCAATTTTCCTTACCTTTTGTTTCACTTCCCCAGCAAAGCAAAAGAAAACTTAATTATGTTGTATTTATTACGCGAAATAAACCTCCTGTTGCCTTTCATGATAATTACGCAACCAAACACAATAAAAAACAACAACAACAACACGATATAACCGCAACTACTTAGCAACATTATACACTTCCGTGCGGCTTCCAAAAAGAAAAAAAACAGCACTGGCCAAAACGTAATTATTGTTGCGGTAAATGCCACGCCCCACGCTGCCCTAGTACCTGCCACCGCCTATGATCCCCTCTCTCTCTCCCTCTCACTCTCTGCCGTAACCACTGCTTCTGCTTACTGCCATTGCCCCTATTGCTGTCCCTCTTACACCCACTCCTAACCACAGGCCCTGCTTTTTAATTTCTTTATAAAAATGCCAAGCGAGCAAAAGAGACAGAAAAAGTGAGATATAGTCAGCGTGGGAGCGAGTGAGTGCGCCATATATATGACAATGTGCCGCGAAAATTAATCCATTTGCTGTGACAATGACTTTTATGCGGTTTTGCAGCAACACGGCCGTCATCCGGAATCCCGGACTCGGGCGCCCGTTCGGCGCCCAAGCCAGGAAGCCGGACAGTCGCAAAGAGTCAAGCCGCAAGCCAAATGCGGGCGCATAGAGGCCACCAAATAAAACAAGAAAAAAAGAAGAAAGAAAAAAAAAACAAATGTTGGGTTCACTTAACAATGCCGCGACATGTAAATATTTGGCGACATTTATAAAAAAAACAGAAGAAAAATAAAAAAAAATGTTCAGCTTCTCGTCCATGCTGGCGTCCGTGCCATGTCCGCGTCCGGGTCCGGCGTGTCCTTATCAAAGCAATTATCTCTAAGATGCCGTCGTCCACAGCAAAGTATTTTTTGGCTTTCCACAGTCTTTGTTTCGCCAGTCGGAAAACGTAACGGAGACAAAGTACACAACATTTCTCTTGATTTTCATTCTCTGGCCCAAATTCCAAATTGTCAATGTGATGGTCAATTTGTGGCCAGCAGCCAGCAGGCAGCAGTCAGGCGAGGGGCGGTGGGTGGGTGCTGCTAGAGCTGGTGAAAATACTTGTGGTGCAAACAAAATGCAGCTGATTAGAGAGAAAACTGAAGACTTGAGATAAATATAAGTTTGGCCAGATAACTGAGCAGATAATATCTGTAACTGTGAGTTTTTAAGAGGGTTTTATTTGAAGAACAAACGAAAGTGGAAGACTTGAAATATGAGCAGTATTAATTAAAGATAAAAGGTATACCTAGACTTAAAGTTCTTTAAAGGATTGAATCTATTTATAATATGTTAAAAAAAAACAATAAATAAATAAAATAAAATGTTTAAGCTGATACTTTAAGTTTTTTCTTACAAACATGTTTTTCGATCTAATGAAAAAAACATTGTTATCCTTCTTTTGTCCCCATTTTCGGAAATTTCCAATGGGCGGAAATTACTCAATGCTGCATGAAGGCGTCAGAATTTCAACAAATATGATAAATGATAGTAAATTTATAATAAATGTAAGCTAGATACATGAGCAGGAAGTTTTACTGTCTGGGAACTAGCTGAAGCTACAACAATAGAATAAATTATTAGAAAGGATTAGAGATTAGATATTTATAAGTTAATACGTCTACAGTCTGAGATTTGAATGGATGTCCTCAAGCATAAAACGTTTATATATGTTATGATGAGAATATATAATATATAAATGATATATATATGATATATACACATAATATATTAATGATATATATATATGATATATTCATGATATATATTTATGAACACACTCAAAGTAGTTTTTCATTTAGTAAATAGACATTTCTTATATGATCTTGGAGACGTCTAGTCTCTGGTCTAGTCTAGTCCTTTATAAATTCGTCACATTTTATTGGCACACTTACATATATAGACATATCAAATAGTTTACACACATTTCATTTATATACACACAGCTTAGAATAGGCATCAACAGAGATCTTAGATTTAGCCGAAGATATTTTGCTTAATGCTCGCCCAGAAGCCCTGCCCACGCTTGGGCATTAGCTCGTGTTCAATTTGCTTGTTGTACTGCTCCCGGAGCAAGGGGTCGGAGGGTCCCCAGTTCTTTTTGGGCCGGAACGCGCCGCGTATCTTCTCGCCCAGCGTGTTGCCGGGCTCGCGAATGATGGCGACCAGCATCCAGAGCGGCAGCTGCATAACGCCAAAGGCTGTGATGGTCCAGCCAACGCCTGCAGAAAGAGGGAAAAATATGATGAGCCATTGGATATTGAGTTGAAGCTGAAATCTTTGGACTCACCATAAGCCCAGGTGGGAAAGGGTTGATTATTATAGATGAGCGGCTCGTAGGTCGCATAGAAGTAAATCAGAATGATGGTCATGATGAGAGGTGTAAACACGCCCCAGCACAAGCGCCAATAGAGACCGACCTTACGGCCCAGCATGAACTCAATGTCCTTGCACAAACGATCCGTGCCGTAGATCCAGCCAATCGTATAGAGCTCCGCGATGCCCAGGACCAAGGCGATCATCGAAGCGCCAAAGAAGTCCACCAAGGTAAGCATATACTGACCGCCCTACATAAGAAAGCCAACTCACATTAGCCAATTGCTATACAGAAACCATATAGTTTCGCTCTCTTACCGGCGTTATGTAGATGAGGCCAATGCCAAAGCTGACGACTGCTATGAGTAGCGAGCACTGCCATTGCTTAAAGTTGGGGAAGCGATCGCGTATGGCAGTCACTGTGCAGGATGTCATCGCTATATTGGAGCCAATGCCCAGCACGAAGAGCATTAGGAAGAACAGCACAGAGAAGATCTGCGGCAGCTGCTTGAACTTGGCTATGGCATCCGGATAGGATATGAAGGCCAGGCCGGCGCCGCCTTTGACCACTTTGCCGATGTCCTCGGTGCCGATTTCGTGCGCCAAATGGCCCAGAATGCCGAAGATCGTGAAGCCGGCCAAGAGCGAGGTGGCCGTGTCCAGGGCAGTCACAATGGTCGCGTCGCGGTGCACATTGTGACCGAACTTGTTGAACGACGAGTACATGATGATGTTGCCGAAGCAAACGGAGAGCGAGTAGAAGCATTGGGTGACCGCCGCATACCAGACCTTCGGATCCAGAATCTTGCCCCAATTGGGCTTGATGAAATAGTAAATGCCATCCAGGGAGCCGGGCAGGGTAACGGCGCGCACCAGCAGAACGCCCATGATGACATAGGGGAACAGGGCCAGAAAATATGACGCCTTGCCGGAGCTCTTCACGCCGCGTCGTATGATCAGAAAGACGCACATCCAGGAGACGAACAAGCCAATGACCAGCTCCCAGTTGGGCAAGCCAATGCCGTCCACTATCTGTTCCTTCTCGCGCAGCACCTCCTTGCTAGGGAATTCAATAGGCAACACATTAAATTCCGAAAAGTCATGCCTCTTGGCCAACACCCCCGCCACAGACTAAGCCCTATCTACGACCAAAGCACTTACACATAGTACAGCTCCGAGCTGGATATAATGCGATCTGTATTATTTAGTGTCCCACTTTGTTCATCGTTCGTTTCACTGGGCGCTGAATTGATACAGTTTTCGCCCCATTCGTCACGGCACGTTGCCCATGGCAACGGACTGTGGAACGAATCGACGAAATATCGACAAAATATGGCAACCAGTGAGGCGTAGTAAGTGCTTAGCATGAACACCTGGAATGCCTGGCCAACGCCAACACCTTTATGATACAAACATATATATATATACATGTATTGGAAAGAGTTAATCACAATTTAGATAGCTGCCAAAAGTCCAAATTATGGCTTAACTTAGGTTAGTTATATGATTAAATGGTTATGATATATGCGGGCATTAGTTGAGTGAAAGAAATATGAAAAACATTCGCTTTTAGTTGGAAAGAAACAATTTGCTAAACATTAATCAGTTAATAGAGTTCATAAGTATACTTTAGCTAGATTAAAACACAGAGTAATTAAAGTTTATTAATATTAATAACTAGGAAAAGTTAGTCGCATCTTTTGAGCACTCATTAAAACTCATAGAAAGGGCATAAAAATTGAACAAAATTTGTGAAAAATAAAAAACAATTTAGTCGGGAGTGCGCGACTAGCAGATACCCTAATACTGCTACTTCAAACAATCTACGCCTCTCCTATACACGCACACACACATGCACACGCACACGCCCACATATGCACGCGCTCTGCTTACTGCGCAGCGACTGCGCTTGGACTGCATTTAAAGCTTTATGTTGGCTACTCAATTGTTGAATAACTTTTCTTCTAGCTGTACACTCCTAATCAAATTTTCAGAGCCTGTTAATGACTAGCAGATGTGTGCATTAGCTAAAGCACAAGTAATTGAAATAAATTCTATGCTAATTTGTGAGGTGTGCAGCTATTCAACGAGTAAATCTAAAGCTAAATTTACAAAATAGAGATAACAAATGATTGATTTATATCTATAATAATTAAATTTAGACTGTTACATGCATTATCACAAAATCTATATACCCCAAATTTTCATATTCCAAGGTTTTAGGGTATAAAAAGAAAGGGTAGCTTAAGAAGCTCTGACCGAGAGGATCTCGATCTATCACTTCAGAGTTACAGCTAACTGTAACTAACATATATCTAAAATCTCATGCCTAAAATCTGGTATCTAAAATCTAAAGTCTGATATCTAATATCTTTCATAATTTGATTTGCTTTGAAGATATCTATTTATTGCTGCTGTGATACATAGACGAGGGTTGAGGTCTCTTGTCTCAGCCATTAGACAGCGAAGCCAATTGAAGTGGCCTTGCAACATGTCGCCTATCGTTTGGCTGTTGCAATCGCCTAGGGGCTATTGCAGCATCCTAACCTCCAATACCGTTAATTGCTGTCAATTTAGGCGCCACAGTGGGGGTAGGCCAGGGGCTGTGCTAGGGACTCATTCAATTAACGTCAATAAAGCGAGCATTGAACGGCCATAAACTTGAATCTGGCAATGAATGCCAGAGTGTGTGCCCCTCGATAAGATTACCAGCAAATGCTGATAAAAACCAACAACCCACAATAGCAACAGCAACAACAACAAGAAGCCATAACAACTATTACTACTACAACAACACCACATAGGTAGAAAAGCCACTTACAGAAAGTACAGCTCGGCGGATGCAACGCGCTGCTGCTGCTGCTGCGGCCCAATCGCATTTAAGCTGGAGTTGTAGCTGGCACTGAAGCTGGAACTGACGCCGGGGCTGATGTTGCCCTGACTGGAGGCGACGCAGACCGCGCCCCATTCGGCTCGGCACTCGGACCAGGGCAACGGATTACGAAACGAATCGTAAAAATAGTAAAGTGTTATGCCCATTATGCCGACGTAGTACGTGGTAACCATCGATATCGATATCACCTGTCCAATGCCCACGCCTAAAGATTCGATTATGATGTGCAATTTCATGACTATATGATGGCTTATGAATGAACTGTTGCAATAGCTGTGCATTTCGGCGAAGAACACTCGAAGGAAGTCTAAGAGATCTATGATCTATGAAAGGTTGCGAGTAAAATTGATTAAGTTTGATCTCTTTTATATCAGCTATCATGGATCAGTGACTTATATAGGCATATAGCTTCAATCTCTTTCACATGACATTGACTTCTTTGATATTCTTTATTACATATTTCAAATTTTCTTTAATTTATTCAATATTTTCTTGGCACATATTCATTGCTGTATTATTTACACTTTCTTCTTTCGATTCCTTCCTTCAAGATTCTCTCTAGCAAATGCACAGCTGTTATTGATTTTATTATAATTCAATTGCTATTCATATGCACTTGCAGCTTCTAGATATATAGAGCCTTATTTAAGTTCTCCCATTAGTGGAATGTGATTTATAAAATTAACCTCGTGACACAGTTTTTCAGAATTTCATACACAAATTGAACAGCTGAACTTTTTGATTAATATTTTATATAAATAATATTTAATTTAACTTTTTGATTGATATATTTTAATTAATTAATTTAATTAAACTTAACTTTTTATTTATTTTTAATATTATTTTGTTTTATTATTTATTATTTTTTTTTTCTATTTTCAACTTTGTTTTATACTTGTCTGAAAATGCTGTAAAATCATTGCTTTGATTCGTAAATTTTCTATATTCTCTATAAATTTTATATAACCATAAGAAAACTCTTCAATAACAGTTGTCGGATTCCTGAATAATTTCTAGTCTCAATTTATTTCTCATATATGTAGGCAGATTCAGTTTTCTTCAGGTTTTATTTAAATTTTTTATGTCTATATTTTTATTATTTATATTATTTATATTATTATCGATTATTATATTATTTATATTATTTAAAGAATTTAACTTATTTATATTTTTTTATTTTATGTCTTATTTATATTATTTACATTATTTCCAAATCGAAAAAGCGACCCATTACAAAAATTTCTATGAAAAACTTTATTTCATTCTAAGAAAATATTTTCTTTTAATTTTCCAAATTCCTATTTAAGAAATTTGATTATTTCTTAATATTTCTTGAATGTTCTTCTATATATATCTAGCTAGCTACAGCCCGCGCATTGCTGCAAGTGCATAGAAACTTCGACTTGGCATCTGGCATATATTTGCCATAATTTCGGTCAGTTTTTCGCTTACCTTTCATGGCCGGGCACAAATCGAATACCTTTACGGAACCGCGACTCGAAAACTGTCCAATTACCATTTCCAGATAGTAAATCGGTTTGCCAATTAGGAATAGCACAATGAGATAGGGTATTAGAAAGGCCCCGCCCCCATTGTCCAGTGCCGTGAACGGGAAGCGCCACACATTGCCCAGGCCCACAGACATGGCAATGCACGACATTAGAAACTCCACGCCTTTGCCCCAGGTATCGCGTTCGCCCTCTCTGCCGCCCGTCGATTTGTCGGCTTCCTGTTCGGCCTCTGTTGGCGTCTCTGCTGGCAGTGACTGAGTGTGTGCGTGTGTGTGTGTGTGCGTGAGAGTCGAGCGATTAGTTTATGGGTCAGTCGAAATTTTTGGCCATAGATTCTGGTACACTTACCGACATGGCCAATGTGCTGGTGGTGCTATTGCCATCATCGCCCACAAAAGCTGGATTGCGCTGCGACGTTTTCATTGTGAAATCTGCGTATTGTGTGTGGGGAAGAGAGAACGTGAGAGTTTCGGTTGTTCTATGAGCTATGGTTGTACAATTAACACTGACTGCTGGATTTTGAAAGTGAGACAAGCCATAAAACTGACAATCAGATAAAGTAAGAGACTTTTAAGCGCTGAGATAAAAGCAGCATTTGGTGGCACGCACATTGAGTGACTAACAGATGCCCATTAATTTAGTTTTTATACTATGTATACTCAAAATATGTCTAGTAAGCCAATATATTATGATTCCAAATATTTTACCTTTAATTCGGTCTCTATCTATTTTAGCATCTACATGTTTTAGATATTGTAAAGACTTTCTGGTATTAAGCTGTCGCAAATAGTACCATGGATTCTTGATCACATCTGAGTCTCCTTCTCTCTATCTGACTCTCTCTCTCTCTCTCTGTCTCTTCTCTCTCCTCCCTCTCTTGATGAACAGATAAAACGCAGCTTAAAGAAATTTCACATCTTTTCCCTTTAGCCCTTAGCCCATTAACCCCATTTGTGCACAGAGTACAGGGCATTCGAAATGATGTCATAGCCACGAGCTAGAATAGATTGCGATTGTTTTAAGATAAAGGTCGCTCACACACTGTATTTGCAAGTCAGCAAAAGAAATGCAACAGGTTATGATAACTACAGCATAAAGATCTGTTGCTAAAGTGAGTTATCTCTATATAGAAAAGAAGATAATGTAGCTAAAAATTCCTCCACTTTCAAAATGAGTAAGATATTGCACTGTATACATAGAGTTTATTGGAGGCATACAATGTATTTAGCTTTATTGATCCAGTTTGTATTGAAGCAACCCGAGTTTTACGGTTAATTTGCTTTGGGTAACAGCAATTATTTAATGCACTTCACTAATATCCAGATAAGATGTCTGGAAATGTCAAATAAAACAAAAAAAAAAACAAACAGCAAATCAAAGTAAACACAAATTAGTGCACCTATTAAAATGCAATCACGAGTGATATCTTTTAAAGATGTCTATAACTGAAATTTAGTGTGTTGTACGACACGCAAAGGAACGCTTACCCCGCCACCTGCTGAGCAGATAACGATCCCCAACAAGTTCGACTAACTGTTGTGTTTGTTTTGCTACACTCTGAGCCCATGGAATGTTGACAAATGGGGTATATTGCTTGTGCTAAAGAGTATGGGACAGGCTGAAGAAGATGAGGTGGAACTTCAATTACATATAAAAAAAAATATATATATTTGTATGTATGTGTTTTTAATTAGAATCAAGAGTTGAGTCCATATAGCCACGACTGTGTCTATTTACTCAGTCCGTCCATCTCTGTATATCGATCTCTCAGTCAAATACTAGCTAGAGCACTCAAATACAACTCATATCGGGTACTTTCTGATCAAATTTGTTTCAATTTATGTATAACTCTACCCAAAGATTCCTACCTAAATATCAAGAGTATTACCTCAATAACTTGTAAAAAAAGTTCTATAAATAATCCTCAGCATAAAGAGTTTTCTTCTATAAGTATATAAGTAGACCTTTCTCAGCCACTCTCTTCCTTGATTATCGAGGTATCTGCTAGTCGAGTACTCCCGAGAGGAGCACCCATAACTGCATTATGTCTTTATTGTTCTTGATTCAATGATAAAAACACTTTTTTGCTTCGCGTATTTGAAGATTTGTTTAAACAATTTACACGTCGTTTCATTTATGGCGTTTATAAACCGAAAAGGCAAAAAGCTATTAATTTAATTTTTAACAGGGTTAACAGCTTTATGACGTGTGCCGACAGTAACGGTATATTAGCGAATCATATGAGGTTTATCTGGGCATAAGTGATATATGTGGAATGTCTGGAGAGAGAGAGAGAGAGAGAGGGAGAGGTTTATAAGTCTACAAAGTTTTGATATTATATCTATTTTTGTATTCTGAAACTTCATATCTATAGCTTCCATATATAAGTACCTTTCAGTTATATAAAAAACACATATCTGAATCATTTACCTTCAATAAGAATAGTTAATTATGTTTTTATGATCTATGAGCTAGCAAAATTTTAGGCATTGGTCAGTGTAAAAGTCTATAACTAGGTCCAACATCAAAGGTCATTCAGATAAATTATATATATGCACATGTATTTATTTTTGGTAGCTAACTTACAGAAAGTGTTTCCACGATAATGTAGTTTGCTTTTATAGAACCCTGCTTTAAAGATATGGACTATATGTGCACTTTTATGGAACTTAATTGTAAGACCAGTTTGTTATCTAGTTCAAGGGAATTAGGTATACTATGAGATAATGTTCATATAGTATGAGTAGTTCACTAGAACTATAAATTAAGAGATATACTTTATAATATATCTAGGTGTCTTGAGCTAGATGTCAATGACTCTATTACATTGTTTACTGAGTTAGCTTAAACTATAACTAATTAAAGCGAGCTTATGAAATTTGTCTTGACTTCTTATTATTTAGTTTCTAATAATATAATTGTGAGAGATTGTTTCATAAGTTCTCTTTTTAATAAAGCACTTTTGACTTAATTGAAAGCTTGGATATCGCTCAGTTTTTTAAGAGCTTTCAGCTTTTCTCAGTTCTTTAATCTGTTGATAAATATTATAATATATTTTTTCAATTCTTAAAGAATTTTTTTTATTTTAAAATATTTTTACTCAGTTTAACTCTTCTGAGGCGTTCAGTTTACCATTTTTACGTTACTTTATATATTTTTGCTTCTGAAATTATCATAAATAGTTAGCTTTAAATTTTAGGCATATTTAATTCAAGCTCAAGTGGACAGAAATTTAATTCAAAATTTATGGCCTTGTGTTTGACAAATTCTTTTTTTCAGCTTCTCTCCCAATTAAAATATCAAATTTAAGGAAAAAATTCAAATATAATTTCTGAGAAAGAGAAATATTCCCACAATTTGCGCTTCAATTATAAATAGATCTGGTTTTGTTGTGGGTCAATGCTCGCCCTAAAATTGCAAAATAATTTGTATAATTATTTAATATATATAATTTCTTTAATAAGCCAATGATAACGCAACAAAGCAAGCGAATTCAAGCGAATGAACAAATTTCTACGGCTGGGCGAAAAGAAAAAATTAAACAACAACCAAAAAATGTAAATAATAATAAAAAAACGTACCAAAAATAAGCCACATGTGTTACTACGACGAAAAAACTGGTTTTTGATTCGGCTTAAAAAAAATATATTTCTTTTGTTTATTTTTGATTTTTTGTTTAAGAACAAAAACCAACATCAGTTGATGAGTCAACTTTTTAGCTGGCTGAAAAATTATGCTAAAATAATGACTGAAGTACTATGCTTCAGGAGATTCTAGAAAATATCTGACATCAGTGTTCGGCATACGAAAGCGGTTAAGAGCGGTTTCAACTAGTTATTGAGCTCAAGACTTGAAAGTTGTTTCGCGCAACTCATCTGAAAAACGGATGCAGTGCGGCCAACTATAAGTATTTAAGGTTCTTAGCCACTTTTTTAAGTACTGCATTTTTTTCATATTTAATTTAATTATTGAAATAATTTTCTACGCTCATTCAAACAATTTCAACTCTATTCATGCAAATACCTCTTCTATAGATCGGCTTCCTTTTCATATATATTATTATTTGAGTTTTTATTTTAATTTCATAAATCCACTTCATATTTGACAGATCCATTATTGAAGGTCTTCCCCTTTTCCAGCCGCCTCATAAACCAGTTTAACTGACGCTTGTTCGTCTTATAAAGCACCCGATATCTGATCCATTGCATTGGTATGCAAAAACGTGTTTCATGGCGTGCTTGTTACGCGCCTCGCCAAAAACATAAAAAAAGAGACTCCACAGACTACAAATACGAATACTAATATTAATGAGCATGATGTATACGTTGCGTATACGTCACAAATCAAATAGATAAAAGGCAAACTGCAAAACAAAACAAAAAACCACAAAAAACCAAATTGGAAATTTAACTAATAACATTAAAAAATGGAATCGAAAAACGAAGTTAAAATACTCTTACCAAGTAGACTACAGATGAAATATATATATAATATACATAAAAATATAATATAGAAATAAAATACAATACGTAAGAAACCTCTAGTCGGAGTGCCCGACTAGGAGATACCGTGACCCAGTCCTATCTGCGTTTTATAATATTTTTTTTATAATTTTTTTTTTATAATATTTTCCATAGTTTGCATCGAGTAATAAAAGAAACAACAACCGAAATTAGGACACCTAAATTCGAACCAACATCGCCTACGCAAGGCTTAGAACTTCAACTTAGAACTTCACGGGAATGCATGACGCCTCTCCCAACAAATATTAACTAAATTAGCAGCTGAAAATTTAAACAATTCAATCGCAATTTGGATTCTTCGAATCCATAAGAATGCATGCCTTTGGATGAATGTGTGCACATAAATAGGAAAAACTCATGAGCTTGGCGCTGCTTGTCACGTGCTTTTGCAAATTGGCCAAATGTTTTGTTTAATAGCTTCTGTTTTACTTAATGGATTTGAAACTTTTTTGAAACTTTTAGCATCTACATATTCATTGGCAGCTTGGTACAAATGCAAACTCCTTCACATATTGGCTATATTTTCAACAAAAATCAAATTTAAAGAATTTGTATTTTAAAGAAAAATCTGAATTGTATTAAATACAAAAAACTAAATATAAAATTTTAAGCCTCTAGCTCTTAAGACGTACGCGATATAATTTAATAACTACATTTCGATGATGTTTTTAATCGATAACAATAAAACGAGAACAGTTATCGATTATCGTTCACACATACGGACAGACAGGTGTCAATTGACGTCTACTACTTATGCTTATACTACTGCTTATACTACTTTTACTACTACTACTTTTAACACTACTACTTATAATACTTTTACTACTACTACTTATAATACTTTTACTTCTACTACTTTTACTACTTTTACTACTTTTACTACTACTACTACTACTGAATATACTACTTATACTACTACTGAATCTACTACTTATACTACTAATACTGCTTATACTACTACTACTACTTATACTACTACTACTGAATCTATTACTTATACTACTAATACTGCTTATACTACTACTACTGAATCTACTACTTATACTACTAATACTGCTTATACTACTACTACTACTTATACTACTACTACTGAATCTATTACTTATACTACTAATACTGCTTATACTACTACTACTGAATCTATTACTTATACTACTAATACTGCTTATACTACTACTACTACTTATACTACTACTACTACTACTTATACTACTACTACTACTACTTATACTACTACTACTACTACTACTACTTATACTACTACTACTACTTATACTACTACTACTACTACTTATACTACTACTACTACTACTTATACTACTACAACTACTGAATCTACTACTTATACTGCTACTACTACTTATATTACTACTACTACTTATACTACTACTACTACTTATACTACTACTACTACTTATAGTACTACTACTTATACTACTACTACTACTACTTATACTACTACTACTACTTATACTACTACTACTACTGAATCTACTACTTACACTACTACTACTACTTATACTACTACAACTACTGAATCTACTACTTACACTACTACTACTACTTATACTACTACTACTACTGAATCTACTACTTATACTGCTACTACTTATACTACAACTACTACTACTACCAAATCTTCTACTTATTCCATTACTACTTATACCGAATCTACTAATCTTAATACTACTACTTATACTTTCACTACTACTACTACTATACTACAACTACTTATACTAATTTATATACTAATACTATTTATACTACGACTTAAAAATTACTCCATTTGAATTAAAGAACTATCCTATATAGTTCCATATTCTTATGGCTCTACTATCGCTTTCAGACGCTTATAATTGACAGCTCGCATCGATGTCGCTAAAGATTAACCTTAACTGAAGCAATTTTATACTCGGCTTTGTGCTGTAACGGCCAGCTGTCTGTCCCTGAGCTTCAAACGGCCTGCCTCAACCGACTCCATTGCACGCAGCGCGTAAACTAGTCACGCGCTTGCGCAGCTGCTCGCTGCAACTAACCATTGAGAACTTGCTGGGCCTTACCTGCGCTTTAACAGTTAAATATGTAACTGATATTGTTATTGTTGTAGTTGTTGCTGTTGTTGCCGTTGCTGTTGTTGCTTGTGCTGCGCCTGCTGCCAAAAGCTTCCGCTGCTTGACTTTTTAGTTGTCTGCGTTTTCTTCTTCTTCGCCTTCTGCAATTAAGCTTATGCTTATTGACAATTGTTGTTGTTGCTGTTGTTGTTGTAACGAGTTGTAACTGCTTTGAGCCGGCCAAAACAACAAAAACAAAACAAAACACAAACCACTTGGCTTTACTTGATTTCAACTTTTAACATTTGGCCCGCCGCTTTCAAGGCTTTAACTCAACACTCAACTGTTTCTTATATAAATACATATATATATTTTTTTTTATTTATTTCGGTTAATTGCTTTAATTGTTAATTATTTATTGCACAAACATTTTCACATTACGAATCACTGTTCTTACTGCTTCTTTTTTTGGACACTTCCTAGGCAGACACTCGCGAGCAATTGAAACCGAAATTTAATGCCAAGCAGCAAAGAGAAGAACCCGTTAGTCTCGAAGTTGTGCCGTTAAGTGAGGCGACGATCGCTTGGGCAAAGCGCCAGCAGCCAACTGAATGAGCCAAGGCGCAGCTCGGAGGGTTTTATGGCGAACTTGACTTCAGCGGCGCACAGTGGGCGCAGTTGCTGGAAAAGGTGACATATATAAAAAAATTGGCTTTCTTATGGATAAAGATTTTAATTCTTTTATAAAATTTTAAAGAGAAAAATAATGAAAAAAATTAAAAAAACGAATGAATATTATTTGGAATTATTTAATTATTTTAAATAATATAATAAGATATACTGTATAATATATCGTGTTATAATTATCAAGAACTGTGGTAGGAAATACGCTAAAATATTGGCTGAAATCTTATATATTTATATAGAAACAAATAATTATTAACTTGACTATTTTAAAGAAGTTGTAGTCAAAGATACCTTTACAAAATACAGATTAACTTGATACTGAAACTCTTTTCCTTGCTAAAAACTAATTTTTAATCATATTTATTGCTCTTTTGTTCCACTGTGCCTTCCATCGCCAAGCCTTTTTTGTTTGGCTGAAACACCGAGGTATAGCTAGCCACGAAATGTAGGTGAAAGCTTTTGCGCCTAACGCAACAGCTGATGCGGGTTTGTGTAACAGCTAAGCTGATCTGATGTACAAAACAGTTTGGGAGCCATTGTTAAGTTAACAGCTCACAATGTTGTGTGTCTCGGATAACTGATCTTATACTTTGTAGTTAGAGAGTTATTGTGTGGTGCTAAGAGTTGAAAAATCGAAGAGAAATATGTTAAAAATCTGTATTGTAGTAGTCTCGGTTCTTATTGCTCTTAAAGTAGCCAGCTTGGGAGCTATAGGATCTGAGAGACGGAGAAAGTAAAGAGGAAGCCTTAGAACTCTACTAAACCTGGTAAGATTTTCAAAACGATGTAAGCCAGGAAAATAAATATATGCCGTTAAGTATCTTAATTAATTTTTTATAAATATATATAATCTATATAGCAGTCTCCATTTCAATAATTATTTTTTTCTGCTATCTGAAGATCTTTACAATGTTATTTTGGGAGTTCTGTCGGGCTTAGTTGACTCAGATGAAGTTTTTGCCTTGACTTGGTTTCTGTACAAGTTGCACTTACACTTTTCTCATTAGGCACAGGCTAGCACACTCACACACACACACACTGACTATGTGGCACACTTGCTCCATTGTTACAGGGACCGCAGTACAACACAAATTGTTATGATAAAAGTTTTTATCAAGTTTTCATTTTATTTTCGGAAGATGCTTTTTTGCTTTGCTTATTTTTTCTTCGTCGTCTAGCAACGTTGATATAGCATATAAGATAAAGTGGTAGACACAGAGAGAGAGCGGACCTTAGGAGTAGAGCTGAGACAAGTCAAGTAACTGGGCAGCTGAATGCAAAAACAATGCCTTGGGGGCGGCGCTGCCTCATAAAATTTTAACTACTTGCAAAAATACTGCTAACTGGTAAACTTTAAGCCAAAAATCATTAAGTCTGCAGCCTGGACAGCCACTAAAAGAGTTTCCACTTGCCAAGCACCAAGAAATCCAGGGAGACAGAGACAGAGATAGAGAAACTTGAGCTTTACTTGTTTTTTTTTTTTGCTAACAAATTTGTTGCATCGCCATTTTGTGGTTCTTCCGGGCGGGATTGACTTTCAGCAACATCCTTCAGTATATGGAACTTGCCCTACGCTCACGACACTCTACTCTCGACTCTATGGCTTGGCATTGTCATTATTACTGGACCTTGGAGACACTATCAACAGAGATGACACAGAGCGTAAGGGAGAAGGGGGGAGAGAGAGAGAGAGAGAGGAGAGCAGAGTGTGTCTGTCTGCTCTTGCGGCTCTCAGAACTTTTTAATAGCAATTAAAAACTAAGCAAAAGACTTCACAAAGCTTTAGACACTTTAGCATACATAATGTTTATATGTATATAATATATATATGTATGCATATATACGTCTAGAAAATACTAAACATTAAATAAAATTTAAGATTTGTTGTCAAATCAATTTTATTATATTTTTGGGAATGTATAGATGAAGGCGTGACAGAACCCTTATATACTTATATTTGTATATATATATATATATATACAAATATAAATATAAATATATATATATATATATATATATATATATATATATATATATACACTTATATATATTCTTAAACAGGACTGCATAGCTGAGCCGTTCTAGCTTTCAATGAATGTTTTTAAGCAACAGCTCTGCACAGGGTACAGGATATCTTCTAGTCAGGCACTCCAGTCAGGCAACCAGAGCACTCTTACCACTAGGAATATTAACCTCAAGGTTGACATTCTATATGTATACTTTACTTTCCTAGCTCTTGTATCTCTCGAATGCTAAGGAATAGAAATATTTTTCGCTTGTTAAAAGAAAAAATAATTATAAAAAATATAGGAAAACTAGAAGTATGGAAATATATGTTTTAAAATATATAAAACAAATATAATAAAATTATAAATAATAATATGGTAATCAAAATATTATATATATAAGATTATAACTAAATTGAAATATGTTATTTATTTATATATATTGAATGTAGATAGTAAACTAAATACAACTTTATATGCTCTACATTTTATATATAAAAATCGACAATCCAGAATTTAGAATATATAAAGTTTTATATAGTCTATTTTTACTCATTATAAAACACATATATATAATTATAACGTCATAATTTATCTTAACTAAATCTTTGTAAAGTCATATCTATATCTATATATAATCAGTTGCATTCTGTACATAAATTAATATAATTTTCTCTTGCTCTATTCACATCAACCACATTCGCTAACTAATCTCTACCAGAGCCTCTTGAAACCAAAAGCTAAAAAGGACTCCCGATTGTCCGATTTGCTTTATTCAGCTGCCGCAACTTCTCCATTGTCTTGAGCATTTCGAGGAAAATCTCTGGCCGAGCCTCATCTGGCTGCATTTGCGTGGATTAGAGAGCAACTTATGCCCTGCCAGGCCATGAAAATTCACAGCCAAGAGCCAAGAACTTTACGGCTCTCCATTTCTATTTGGGTTAATCCCTGAGCCCTGGCTAAAAAGCTAAAAAATAAAGAGAATTTCACTTAAATTTAGGAAATACATTTAAATGCATTTCTGACCAGTTGCCATTCAAATTTTCTTGCAACTGCAGCTCCTTTCACGGACTTTTTTGTAACCGAAGAAGAAGAAGAATATATATATTTATATATATATATAAAGTAATTTTTGTCTTTGGAGCCCACTCACATGTTATGTGTAGGTAATCTCCTTTATTACTGCGGCAACTTTTTGTGTGTGTGCGACATAAAACTGGATTTTGGGGCAGAGATTTTGTGGCGAGGTGGGCGTGGCATTTACAACTTTTGCATAACATACAAGAGCGGCACAAACTGTGAGCATTACGTAAATGTTTATTTTGCCAAAATATATAGACAGAACGGGAGAGAAAAGCCACAAGTCATAAAACAAAGTTTTGCGCCCCGAAAATTATATTGTAGATGTCCTTGTCGTCTGTCGTTCGGCCTGTTTGCCTGTTTGCCTGGCAGGAGATGCGCTAATTGAAAATGACTTTTGGGCCATAAAATGTGCATTTGGCTAATGAAAATGTTACACAGCAGCAGCAGCAGCAGCAGCAGTAGCAGCCTAATTGCCACAATTGAGGCACTTGCCACAAGTAGCTGCCGGATTCATTCAACTAATTGATGATAACTTGATAACCGAAACCAAAACCAAAACCAAAACTCGAGATGTCACTCAAATAGTCCGAGCAAAAGAACCTTTTTTAATATGAAATCCACATTGAAATTGGCCAAGCTTAAAAAAACTTAGTTTTCTTGCCTTTTCAGTTCAACTTAAGCTAAGACGACATAACTTATATGCCTAAAAATTAAAAAAAAAAACACTTCAAGTATCGAATATATTGAGAAATAGCACAGCTATTGAGTATGTTAACATAAATATTGTTTATAAACAAAATATATAAATATATATGCTGTGCACTGTACTTACGCTCCGCTCGTTGAGTTGATAATTTGCATATTTAGTAAATGCAATAAAAAATTAATGCAATACCCAATTTAAAAAATAAAGCCAATGACATAAACTAATTTGTAGTGGCTTTGCCTTGCTGCTGCTTAGCTTGCAAGGCTTTCCTTAGCTGGCCCACGGAATGCGGTTTATGCCAGTGTCCGTTTTGCTGTTCAGCTCCCATTACGTGCATTTCCCGCATCGCGTGTCTTTAATGACGCTCAACGGTGACTGCGATTTCGGGTTGCCGCCCACTTTTTGCATTTTTCAATGCAGCTGCCATAAAATTGCAGCAAGCATCTGCCCCAAATTGTGCAGTTCATAGTCCAAAGGACCAAGAGGGCAAGCCGAAAAAAAGCAAAAAAAATACCAGCCAGTTGCTGCCAGTCGAGTGCAGTTTATTAGCTCGCAATTGCAGTTTGAATTGCAGATCGGAACTGGTATGTTGCGGCTTGGCTGCTTGCAGCTCACTTAAATGTTCGGCCTCATTGAGAGGCAGTCCAACTGCAGTGGCACGCAAATTTGTAGCAGGCGTTTGGCAGCTTGCAACAGGTGGTTGCAAAAGATGCCTTCATCTGTGGAGCATACAAATGCAGTTTTGTTGTTCAGCAAATACACACACAAATAGTTTGCTGGTAGGCTTAATAATTCTTAATGTTCTCGTAGATAAAGCCAGGGCTTATATCCTGATACTCTAACTATAATATATTACAAATAATTCGTATTCCGAGTAGCTTTCTAGCTTGTCAATTGTAAAAGATCTTATAGAA